CCCCAAAACCCCAAAACCCCAAAACCCCATATGAAATCTATTTGATAATTCATTTAAAGTAAACAATAAAAGTTAATTAAAGTAATCAATCTTGGAAATTATTTAAGCTTCTTAATGCTGCTCCTTAGCTTCTCATTTAAGAGAGTCTATCTTGAAGGGGAGTAGAAACTGTTTAATTAGAGAATTTTTAAGTAGATTAAGGAATGTTTGCTGATGACTAAGGTCTATTCTACTGCTTGGCTAAGGATCGAGGTATGGGAATGACATTTTCTCTGTTCATTCCTAAATTATCATTTATCTTGAAATTTTGAGGTTAATTTGATTGTATTCTGGGAGATAAATAACTTTTATTATCATCAATGGCATTATTCCTTGAGCTCTTATTGGTCTCAATAGTATTTTTGTGTTCCTATATAATTGAGCGGTTTTGAGTGTAATAAGAGGATGGCTCAATATTTGATCTGTAATCAATGTTAGTACTGTAATTTTCTTGATTTTCATTTGCTCTCTCTGGAAGATAGTCATAGTCTTCTACTTTAATAGGCTAGAGTACAATTGATTTATAGCTATTGCATTTTGATAAAGGCTCTCTTTTAATGGTCTAATTCTTAGTGTCATCATTGTTCTTTTCAAAAGGATTACCAACACTTGATCCAAGGCTGAACAAATGGGTATTATTTCTAGAATCAAACATATTTAATTTGCCTTTTTATTCAGCATCCTTTATTTGCTAGTTCTTTAATCTGATTTCACTTCTAAGCTGTTCAATTTCTTTTGTCAGATATTGAATAGATTATGTTTGATCTTTAGAAAATGATTCAAGTATGATTTTCTCAGTGAATATCTTAAAATCACCCTCAAGTTGAATTTATTTCCTAGTTAAAGTATCTAGTTATTGATTTGCATTTTTAAGTTAAATGTGAATATCGCTAATCTCATTTCTTAAGGCTGTTTCATTATAGTTTAATGCTTCGTCACTATGATGCTAAGACTGTAATTGATTATCATATGCTTGAAGTTAATCTTATAATTTCAGTCTTAAAGATTCAAGATTTAGTTTATCATTGAGGATTGAAAATAGTTTTTCTAGTTATCTATGGCCATCAGGAACTAGTTTTTATATAAATTCTAGTAATCTTTAAACGAATTCTTAGTGAGATATTTTATGTTTGGTAAGAAGTTTTATTTTAGAGTCCTTCTTGGACATTTCTCTTTTATTGCTTTCTAAACTGTTTATAGTTTAGTCAACTTTCATATCAACCAAATGCTTTTGCTGTTCTTGTTAGTTTAGTTAGTCACTTAAATTGATATTTTAATCAGTAAACCTCTCAATGATTTGATGAAGATCATTGACCTTTTGTTAAAATCCTTGTTCTTAATCTTTTAATTGAGCGATTTCTCTTTATTGGCCTTACTTAACTGCTCTTAACTAATCAATCTCATTTTGAAGGAATCTTTACTTTTCATTATGAACCTAATCAATAGCATGCACATTTCCAAGTCTTGCCTCTAATTGCTCTAATTTCTTTACATTCAGCTTATTATCCTGCTTTACTATTTAAATGTCATCTAGAATTTGCTCAAACTGGGCTAAGAATATATCATTAAAAGTTCTGACCTCATTAAATGCCAAAACGAGTGACTTCATTTTTTCATCGGACTAAGTTGATATCCTGAAGTTGTCCAAATTTTACATCAACAAATAGAATTTTTCTCTCTAATGTCTCCCAACTATTTCTGAAAGTACCTCAGAAATGCTAATTCTTTTTAAAAAGTTATCTATGAAATCCCTGATCTAAGAAACAACTTGATTCATTGTAAGTTCAAAGTCCCCAGTCATATTTTACCAATTTTCAATAATTTGAGCTTTTTCAGAACAGATACTTCTATACTTATTGAGATTTTATGCAAGATCCAACTTTTCTTCATCAGTATTTTAGTTGATTTTCCTTTATCTTTCATAATCTTCAATAGTGTCGTTGAGTTATTATTGGAGTGCTCTAAGCCTTGCATCAACATCTTGCTTGTCTCTTGATGTTTAGTAAACAGTTCTTTCTGTTTCTTTCAATTTCTAATTCAGATCAGCTCTAGATCTCTCAAGACTTTGAACTAGATATTAGCTTTCATTGAGATCCTTGAGAATTCTCTTATTTTCCTTTTCTTGAACTTCCATTTCAGCTGAAAACTTGGCAAATTTATCATTTAAAACAACTAGATCTCTGTCCTTAAATCTAATCTAACTCTTAAGGATTTCGTTCTCTTCAATTAATTACTTAGCTTTGTCCTCCAATTTGAAAAAGTTTTAATTTTCTTCTTTTAAATCTTCAACCTACTTCTCATTGATTCTTTTTTCTCTCAAGAGTAGGTCATATTCTCTAGTTAAATCTAATAATCTCTGCTCCTAGTCTATCTTTGTTGCTTTTGTAAATTCATATTAATTAGAAGTTTTCTAAAGTTCGGAGTTAAGTTGGTCAACTTATCTTAATAAACTAGTGATTTCATCTGTTTTTTTATTTAGTTCTTTGCTCATATAAATCTTTTGATCATCGAGTTCTCTCTCGATCTAAGGCATTCTTCTCTGGTAATTATCATTTATTATGTATTGTTCTTCTAGTTTCATCTTCAAATCATCCATCTAAATTACTAATCTTTCTCTTTCTTAGGATAGCCACTCTCTTCTCTGAGTTTCACTTATAAGCTTTTCCTCTAATTAAACAAATTAGCCGTTCAGTTTGTCAATATCTAGATTTGCTTCATTCTGATTTTCCTTTAATTTCAAAATTTCCTGTCCTTTATCAACCAATACTTATTAGTATTCTGTTGTTTTATTCCTTAGACTGATGTTCTCATCCATAATATTTTCCTTTTGGCGTTTAAAATCAGAAATTAGTCTTTCCTAGAGATTGATTTTATCTTTCAAATCATCTCTTTGCTTATTGAGTTCATAAATCTAGATTTCAAAGGATCTTTTTAGATCGTCAATCTCCTTCAATAGAATGAACTCAATTTCTTTTTTCTTCTCCTCCTGTGTTTTTGCAAAATCTTCATGAATCTAAATTCTTTTTCTAAGTGACTCCTCTTCAATTCTGCTTTTTTTCTCGCTCATAGATTTTTCTTCAGCTAGTCTTTCATTTTATTTCTATAGAATATTATTCTCATCTTCTAGTTATCTTAGTTAAACCCTCAAATTTTCAGTCTCCTCTCTTTTCTCATCTATAAGTTTCCTTTAATTATCAATTGTTTAAAGCTAATCTTATATATACTCATCCTAATCATTAATCTTTTACTGTCGTTATTCATTTTCTCTCTTGAGTTGTCTGATCTAGTCTTTGAATTTTTCTGATTAATCTTGCAATTAAATTTGTTTATTTTCAAGTTCTTAGATTATATCATTAAGCTTTTGAATAAGATTTTAATTATTTTCATTTTAGCTTTTAAGTGAATATCTATCTTTGTTTATCTTTTCGATCGTTGCCTTTTCTTCTTCAAGCTCAATATTGAGTTTATCGATTTACTTAACATTATCATCGACATATTCAAGAAGCTGATTTTTCTCTGACTAAATAGCATTAAACTTTTGAGTTAACTCCTTCAAATCCTTTTTAAATTTTTCAAGTTCGTTTATTAGTAATTCATTTTGCTCATTGGAGTCTTTCAATTGGCTACTCAAATCTTCATTATAATTATTTGCAGCTTTTAGCTAAGTATCTTGAAGCTTATATTATTCTTCTACAGTTTTACATTCTCTTTTCCAAGCATCTAGTTCACGCTTCATTTCAGACATTATAGTATAAATGGTGATTGGATCTTGACTTCCTTAAAGCTATTTATGTGAAATTAAGTCACCTAGTCCGATAGCTTCCATCTTTTAATCAATTGCATTTCTTAAGATCTGAATATAATTTCTTTGTTCTTCGTTTGCCAGAGTTTCATTTCTTAATGCTTCCTCTATTTAATGCTTTTCCTATAAAACAATGTCCAATCTCTCCTTAAGTTTGATCATTTCCATTTAATTTTAAGGTGAAAGCTGGTAATCAAGTTACTATTACTAATTTTGAGAAACTCTAAGTCTATTTTTGATTTCTTCTAAATCTGGATTAGGCTGGCCAATATGAGATGGTAGAATTGGAATTTAATGAGAGGGAGCGAGATCTTTAATTCTTTTTTCACAAACTAATCTGTAATTATCTAGATATCTGACTCTTTCTTAAAACTAATATAGTTTTTATTGCAAATCAAGCTCATTGCTGTCATTTACAGCTCTAAATGAATGTGCTTCTGACATTTGATATTGTTGAGGTATCTGCTGATATTGTTAAGTTTGACTTAGCTGTGACTATGGGCTAAATAGTCTCTAGTTCATAGTAGGTTGTAGAGAATTGTAATTATTTGAAGTAATCTGGTTGTATATTTCATTTGCCTAAGGTTCGAGATTAGAGGTTTAGTTGAATCTAGAATTGGATTAATCCTAAGATTCTGGAGAATTAAAGCTAAATTAATTCTAGTTTTTGTTATTTGAAAGTTGCATTGATGGCTGTAAGGTTCCTCCACCTGTTGTAGTGGGGGCTTATCTTTGAACAAGATTTTAAAGTCTAGCATTTTGCTAGCTCAAATAATTTTACATTTCTATTTAAATTTGAATTTTTACTTCTAATCGCTTTAACTGCTTAAATCATGGGGTTTTGGGGTTTTGGGGTTTTGGGG